TGAAAACTGAGACAGCTCAGCAGCCTGCCATTCAATCATTCAACAGAAATTTGTGGAACTCTTACTCCGTGCCATGCCCTGTGCCAGGCTCCCATCCTCTGTGAAAGGTGTAATGTCGGGGAGCTACATAGTCCTATGGGGCACATAGTTTGGGCATCTGACCCAGTCTTGGGGAATGTGAGAAGTGGGCAGGGGAGGCTTCCTGGAGGAGGTGACATCTAAGTGGGATTCTGAAGGCTGAGGAGTCAAGCAAAGAGAGTAGGGGTAGATGAGGGTATTTGAGGTAGAAGAAAGCATATAAAAGACCCAGAGGCTGGGGGCAGGACAGAGCACATTCGGGGGCACTGCGTGTCATTCATCATGTCTGGAATTTGGATTTGGAGGTGGTGTGGAAAAGATGGGGCTGGCAAGGTAAATGGTGTCAGTTTATGAAGGGACATTCACAGGCATGGCAGCATTCCAGGTCACTCTCCTTTTGAATGGATCCCCTCCTATTCCATGCAACTTTGAGAAGTTCTGACTTTCCCCAGTATTTCCGAGGCTTCCGAGGGCTATTGTCTACATGGCCTGGTCATTGCCCATCAGATCTCTCCCCAAAGCTGGTCAGCATGGTGGTGGCATAAACCCACCTATGAGAGCCAAAGAGTCAGCTATAGTTGTCAACTATGAGGAAGTTGCCAGCTGTTGCTGCCCAATCCCAGAAGTCCCATGTTTTCTCCTTCCCAGTCCTGGGGGTGGGTGGATCCAGGCTGAGCCTGAGCCTCTTCCATCAGGACCCTCAGAAGTTAACTCTTCAAGCTAGTGTGTAGCACAGCTGGAATCTCGACTCAGGCTCTCTGGTAGCACAGCCTTGCTCTGGTTAAAGCTCTGAGGTCGGTTCACAGAGCCAGGGATGGGGAATTGGGGGATGCGTGGACCGCAGGTCATCTGCCAGCCCTCATCCCATCCCCTAGGTGCCCCAACCTCTCACAGAGCCCTGCCTCCCCTCTTTAGCATGACCTCTCCTAAGCCCCTCAACTGCCTCCTCACCCATAAAAGTGGCCCCTGATAGCCCTACTTGGTCCACTAGGACCCCACCCCTTGTGGCAACGGGTCCCAGAATAGGGCTGGACCCCTGATCCCAGCTGTGGCTATCAAGTTCCTTCCTGCGGACTTTGGAATCTATGGGGGGCATGTTCATTCATGCTGGGAAACCCCACTTGCCCTGGTGCTAAACCTGTAATCTGTGGACTCTAACCCTGAAGGCAGTCCTGTTCTGCCTGCACCTGGAAGCACAATTAGCTTGACTGCAGAGTGGGAGGAGACAGCAGACTAAGAGGACGAGGACGGAGGAACAAACAGTGAGGGAGCAGTCCCGTCTCTAGAGCTTCTTTGTTCCCTATCCCTGGCCTTCCAAGGCCAGCGAGGTCCCTTCTACTTTCCTGCTCTTGGGTTCCGTGAGATACCCCTGTATTTGTATGACAATTCTTAATTTTGGCTCAAGCCAGCTCAAGTGGGTCTCTTTTGCTTGCAACCAAAGAGCATTAGGTACATGGTAAGAGCTCCAAATTAAGGGACCATTTACTTGTTCATCTTCAACTTTTGAGAGTGAAATGAGGCGCTGTTAGTGATTACACTGGGACTACAGGTATAAACTGGGATAACGCAGGCAAACCAGGACATCTGGTTCCCCTACCTGTAAGTGAAAAGAAAAACACACAGATCACTTTCATCTCCTTTTGTTCTTCAGGCAATCTGGGAGGGCGTATTAGGCAGGGGTTGTCATTTTTCTCTCTGAGACAAAGTCCGTGGCAGTAAGCTGGTGCGAGGTGGCGGGGTTGGGGGGTGCGGTGGGGATCCGGAGACGGCTCAGGCCCAAGAGTGGACATGTTTTCTTTCTTGCATGGTTGATGTGGAGGCAGAAAGCTGATTCTGGCTGCTGAAGGTCAGGGCTGTGTCTCCCTTCCTTTCTTCTTGATAGATGAATGGGAAAAGGGCTGCTCTTTGATATGTGGATTTTCGAAGGCCAAGAGGGTTGGTGCCATTCCAGGAATACACTATTTTGTGGGCGGGACAGTGGGCAAGGGCCTGAGGGAAGGAGTCAAGGGAGGCCTCAGAGCAGCCCAAGTAGCCAGATGGCTGGAGGTCTCAAGAGCTCCAAGCGGCCAGGCTTGGGCCACTGCCCGCGTCTCCAGCCATGGTACTCGTAGGGCTGCTACTGCTGCTGCTGCTGCTGCTGCCCCTGCTAGTCGGCACTCGCCTGCTGTGGGGCCAGTGGAAGCTCAGGAGCCTCCACCTCCCACCTCTTGTCCCCGGCTTCCTGCACCTGCTGCAGCCCAACCTCCCCGTCTATCTGCTTGGCCTGACTCAGAAACTCGGGCCCATCTACAGGCTCCGCCTAGGGCTGCAAGGTGAGCGTCTGCCCCACCCCCCCTCGCCCCACAGTGGTGTGGAGGTGGGGTCCTCTCCCTGCTGACACCCTGCTTTTCCTCTCCCCCAGATGTGGTGGTGCTGAACTCCAAGAGGACCATCGAGGAGGCCCTGATCAGGAAGTGGGTGGACTTTGCCGGCAGACCCCAGATACCATCCTGTAAGGGGTGGGGGGCGTTTCTTGATGGAAGAAGCAGGGGCTATGGGAGGCAGGGAAGGTCAGGCCCGTGGCTTCCTCGGTCAGTTCGACCCCCTGCCCCCAACCCCTACTCACAGACCAGCTGGTGTCTCAGCACTGCCAGGACATCTCACTAGGGGACTACTCCCTGCTCTGGAAGGCCCACAAGAAACTCACGCGCTCAGCCCTGCTGCTGGGCGTCCGCAGCTGCACGGAGCCCCGGGTGGAGCAGCTGACCCAGGAGTTCTGTGAGGTGAGGCTCGCCTCCCACAGTTGGCCCAGGTCGGCTTCAGCCCTCCCGGCAGCCCCCTGTTTAGTTCACGCTGCTTCTCCTCAGCGCATGAAAGCCCGGGCTGGTGCCCCCGTGGCCATCCAGAAGGAATTCTCTCTCCTCACCTGCAGCATCATCTGTTACCTCACCTTTGGAGACAAGGTCAAGGTTCTCTTGCCCTCACATAGGCTTGGGCCCCACCCCCCGCCCAGCCCCTCCCAGACCCTCTCCTGGTCCTGAACCGAAAGGATTCCCTCCTTTTCCGGCAGGAGGACACCTTGGTACATGCCTTTCACGACTGTGTCCAGGACTTGATGAAAACCTGGGACCACTGGTCCATCCAAATTTTGGACATGGTTCCCTTTCTCAGGGTGAGGAGGTGAAGCCCCGACACACCTGGTCCTGGGAGACAGGGCGGAGGTGGGCAGAGGCTCCCTTCCCAGCGGCTACACTCTCTTGCTGTCTGCCCCAGTTCTTCCCCAACCCCGGGCTCCGGAGGCTGAAGCAGGCCATGGAGAACAGGGACCACATTGTAGAGAAGCAGCTGAGGCAGCACAAGGTGGGAACCGTGCGTGCACCGGGCTCCTCCTCAGCTCTCAGCAGTGATGCTACTGCCCCAGAGCTCGGCGGCTTCTTTGACACCCCACCAGTCCTGGACCTGCTGCCCCCTGCTGACCCCCCCACCCCCCCCCCCCCCCCCACCCCAAGCCAGGGACTCAGGCTGGCTCCTCCTCCCCTCTCCAGGAGAGCATGGTGGCAGGCCAGTGGAGGGACATGACGGACTACATGCTCCAGGGGATGGGGAAGCAAAGAGTGGAAGAGGGCCCAGGGCAGCTCCTTGAAGGGCACGTGCATATGTCCGTGGTGGACCTTTTCATCGGTGGCACTGAGACCACGGCAAACACCCTTTCCTGGGCTGTGGCGTTCCTGCTTCACCACCCTGAGGTATGCCCTGGAGGCAGGCGAAAGGCTCCTTCCTGGCAGCTTGGCCAGGGCATCGGGAACCCAGCTCGCTGAACCCGCCGCGGGCTGTGTTGGGAGGGGGTTGGGGGGCAGTGAGTCTGGGGTGGTCTGGGAGGGGGTTCTCCTACTTGGCACAGACTCTCCGGTGAGCTGCTCCACGGAGTGGTGGGAGGCTGGGCAGCCGTGCGTCGGCCAGAGGCAGGGCTCGGGCCCCGGACCTCGGGCTTGCCCCCCTTTCCCAGATTCAGCGGCGACTGCAGGAGGAGTTGGATCGCGAGCTGGGCCCCGGAGCCTCGGGCTCCCGAGTCCCATACAAGGACCGCGCTCGGCTGCCCTTGCTCAACGCCACCATCGCTGAGGTGCTGCGCCTGCGGCCCGTCGTGCCCCTGGCCTTGCCGCACCGCGCCACGCGGGCTAGCAGGTGACTCCCGAGGGGGGAGGGCCGAGCGGCAAAGGCCCCAGCGGGGTCCTGGCGGGCCTCTAACTTAACCCTACCCCTCAGCATCTTCGGCTACGACATCCCCGAGGGCATGGTTGTCATCCCCAACCTCCAAGGTGCCCACCTGGACGAGACTGTGTGGGAGCGGCCGCACGAGTTCCGGCCCGGTGCGTGGCGGGGCGGGTGCCCGCGGCGCGGGGGCGGCGGAGGCCGAGAGCCGGCGGCCGCTGAACTCCGGTCCGTCCTTCCGCCCGCAGACCGCTTCCTGGACGCGGGCGCGAACCCCAGCGCGCTGGCCTTTGGCTGCGGGGCGCGCGTGTGCCTGGGCGAGCCGCTGGCGCGCCTCGAGCTCTTCGTGGTGCTGGGGCAACTGCTGCAGGCCTTCACGCTGCTGTCGCCCGCGGGCGCCCTGCCCTCGCTGCAGCCCCATCCCTACTGCGGCGTCAATCTCAAGATTCAGCCTTTCCAGGTGCGGCTGCAGCCCCGGGGCGGCGGAGGCCGGGCCGCGCGCGAGCGCCAATGACCAGTGACGGGGCCTGGACTCACTGGCCTGGGTTTCTCCTTTTATTGCTCCCGTACAAACCCCTTCCCTCCCCCCTGTAAACATGGTGCTGTGAGATCGCGGGTGGAGAAGGCTTCCTACGGTGGCTGGATGGTGAAGGTGGCCCCCGGCTCTTCTCTGGGCGCAACCCCTCAGTGCTCGGCAGTCATAGTAGGGCGCTGGAGGGGTGAGCAGCGGCTCAGCCTCCCCTGCCCGGGGGCCGGTAGCTTCTTGGTCTCAGCTTCATTTCCGTGAAGGGCACGGAGAAGTCAAAGCCCCTCCAGTAGTACCAGCTCACTCCCTGGGAAGGGGTTGTCGAGAGAGAGTCAAAGCCTGTCATCCCATCTGCTCCCACCTCTGCTCCCCTCTGGCGAGATGGTTCCCACAAATCAATCAAGGATCCTCCCTCCCTTTATCCTTCTTAAACCCTCAATTACAAAGGACTGAGGCTGAATCCTGAGCTGTCCCTTTACGTCCAATAAATCATCTCCTCCAGAAAACTTGCAGAGACTGGCATTACCGTTCCATTTCACAGACAAGGGCCCTGGGGCTCTGAGCGGCTCAGTAACTTGTCTTGTCACACTGTGCGTCACACCCAGGCAGGCTGAGCCCCCGCTCCGTGCTGCCTCCTGGACCTCTCACCTGGTGGTCCACTGTGCTCCCGTAGAGCCCGTTGAGGTTGGCATAGTGGCAGTTCTTATACCACCAGGCCCCTCGGTAAGAGACGGCGCAGGAGATGAGCAAGTTGTTGGGGTCTCGGTCACGGGCAGAGAAGACACTGCCGCTGTGGTAGCTCATGGAGTCCCCTGGGCAGGGCGTGGAAGGCGCAGTGAGGGCCTCTCCTCCCCACTCCCACCCCGTCCCTGCCCCCCACCCCCAGGCCCACACCTCACCTGCAGTGCCGTGGTAGCCTTCCAGGTGGAGGCGGTAGTACTCATCGGCCGAGTCTACTCGGAAGGAGTCGTACTGGGCAAACACGGCCTCGTCCCCATCCCGCAGGTCCACACGCAAGGAGTAGTCGCCGGCTTTGGTCAGGCTGTGCAGGGCCTCGTTGCCTGGGGGTGTGGAATGTGTGCTCATTGGGGTTCTTGTGTCCACAGGGCCCCCATCCCTTCCCTGGTCCCGCAATCCCTATGAGGCACTAACCCAGCCAGAACTCCTTGGAGATGTTCCCAAAGCCATGGGCGTAGTCCTCCCAGTCTCTCCAGAAGTCAGTTTTTCCATCCATGCGGCGCTGGAACACCTGGAAGCAGGTGGGGGCACCATCAGCCTATGGCCCCAGGCACAGCAACCCTGCCCTGTGCAGACCCCTGGGCTTCTGACTGCCACCCACCAGCCAGCCACCCCCATCGGTCTCCATGTCACAAAAGACGTTCAGGGGCCGCTCGCGGTTGCCGTTGAGGAAGATGGTGGTGGTCCTTGAGGTGCTGACCCCGTTCTGCACCTCCTCCCCACAGTCCCGGGGGAAGGGGATCCGAAGTCCACCTGGGGAGAGGAGAGTGAGGGTCCAGCCCTTCCTCCAGGTTCTAGACGCCCACTATACACTCAGCCCCCGACGTCAGGTCCCAGTGCCTGAGTACCAGTGGTGAAGGAAGTGGACACGGGGGGAGTGAAGCTGTGGTCCCACATGGCCCGGAGCCACGCGCTATAGAGGGTGGAGGG